CTAGAAAATTTTATAAGTAATTTTGAAAATAATTAATAGATGATGCTAGGAAAGCAAACATTCATTTTAAAATGTTCTAAGAGACATAAGCGAGGTATGAGGGTTATATTTATTTAAATAAATGAAACATTTTAATTAGAGGAATTGATAATGCAATACATTTAAAGTTAAACCATTATGTAAGATTAAATGTTAGAGAGATGGGTTAGGGTAAATTAAATAAAATTTAATCATTTTAATTAATAACTTGTCAAATCTGACAGGTCATGTGGTTCAAAATAATGTCCTTGAGATTATCCATCTTGACTGTATAAAATTCAACAACAAAAATGTAATAAATGTTTTTAAAAAAATGAATAATATAGGTGGTCGATCTTTATTAAAATCTCGGGTTAAAACGTTTACAAAAATTTATGATCGTTTTCCTATCTTCTTAATGTTAATTTAATTAAGTTAGGGAGATTAAATAAATTAATGTTAAATTTTCGATCTATCCGCCCGGCCGATCCCGAACGACCGAGTTCAGTTGGGAAGAAATTCGACTTCGGGAAAAGAAAATATTATTATTTGTGCCAAAGAACAGATCAAAAAATGATTGTGCTTCTTCCCCAATTTTAAATGATTTACTTGGCACGTGACTAAGAGAGATGTTATCTAATTACGAATAATAAAGGTAACATCCATAAAGATCAGATCAATAACCCGGACAAAAAAAAGGACAATTGAAGATTATCTCTAAGATAGTCTCGATGTCGGAAAAGGAAGAATAAGATGAAGAGCAGAAGGAATGGATAAAATTATAACAAATTTTTGTTACTAAAACATCTATCTTTTATATCGATTTATATTTTTAAATATTATGTCGTATATTTTTGTAAATGTTTAAATAAATTTGAAAAAAAAAAATGAATACGATATACTATTAATTTAGTCGGTAAATCTTCCTTCCGGTCTGGGCACCGAAAAGAAGATGGGGTTTTTAATTCTTTTTCAGAAGTAACATATTGTGTTCAGTCTATACTAGTCAGTTACGAGTCAATCAAAATCTTTTCATGGCGGGGGAGGGAAAGATGGGGAAGGGTTACTATTTTTTAATATTTCTTATTTTTTGTTGCTTTTTGTAAATAAATCACCTATCTTTACTATATCACACGACTTACATTACTATAATAAAATGGCAAAATTCACCTATATCAAAAAGAAAATCATTAACATTAAACACGCATGCCTTTTTAGTATCTGTTTTATTTTTTTAACATTACATTTATTATCCTTTTTTGGTCATTAAACTAATACTTTTTTTGTTTAATTTTTAAAATATGTCCGAAAATTTTTCTAATAAAGAAAGGGAAAAAAACCTATAAATCTATACATTTTTTTTTTAAAAAAAAGGTGATTATTTTGATATTTTTTAAAACGATATATTCAAAGGAATGAAACTTAAAGAATCCTGTTAAAAATAAAATAATTTTAAAAGATTTTGTCATTTTATATGGGAAGAAAGAAGTAAGTAAAATTTTAGTAATATGAGGTTTTTATTTATATAAAAAATAAATATAACGGTTAGATAGAGAATCTTCGACGGTCGAGTATTATAGTGTTCCAAATCCACATTTTTAGCAAAATGTATATTTTTTCGATAAATCAAATCTATGGGATTTTTAGGTTCACCTATTATAAGCCTTTGGCTATATTTGTTTGGGGTTTTCACTCTTTTTATTATTATTAAAATACTTTTTTTTTCTAAACATTTTGAATTATAGTCGTTATTTCACTATGGCAGCCGACTACCTTGGTAAAATTTCTATAAAATAAAAATATAAATCTTGGTAAGACCTCTATAAGCCTCATAGAATGGCACTTTTTGCACAGATTTAATATAGTAATTCTTCTCTTCTCTCTCTTCTTCTCTTCTCTTCTCTTCTCTTCTCTTCTCTTCTCTTCTCTTCTCTTCTCTTCTCTGTATATTGAAAAAAAAGGTAGTGTTGTAAACTGCATGATTTTTAAAAACGTCTAACCAAATATTTTAGCCTAAAAAATGTTATGCAAGTTTAGAGATTTTGTTAATGGAAGTCCAAACCTTTCTGCCATATATAAGCATAATCTCCAGGCTTGCATAATATTTTTTACTAAAATATTAGACTAGCCGTTTTTAAAAATCGAGCGGTTTAAACAACACAGGTTTGAGGACATTTAATAGCAAGAGACTTGATTGGCAAGTCAGAATTGACCAGTCAAATTCTGTCAATTGACCGGTCATTTGGTCTGAGGAGTATTTGATCTGATCATACTTTAAAAAATGTGAAGAAAAAAATTAAAAATGGTAGAAAAAAACGAATTCTAATTCTTTTTCAGAAAGAAATTGGTCAATTTGGATTAACAGAAATCGATTGAAGATCTCGACAACAGGAAAATTGATTAAAATATTAAAGAAAATGATATACTTGAATTTTAACCAGAGCAAGATATTCCCACGGAGAGCGAAACATTAGTTATTGAATGACAATTTATTTAAAAAATATTATAAAATTAATGTTATAGATTATAATTTTACTATTATATACAAAATAAAGTTAATGTCTTAAAAAACATTTATTTGGCCATATTTGACCGTATTTTATGATATTTGGTCGGTCAAATATCGGTCAATTGATCGAATCCTATTTGACCGGTCAAATCAAAAACACAACCCTGATAAAAAAAAACTCTCGAAGAATACGAATTGCCATAACACATTTTTTTTGGTTTTTATTATAAAAAAAAATATATGATTTAAAATTGTTGTCATAACTAATATTAAAAATATTTTTAAAAAAAAATTTGCTAATGGATTGCATATTTTTGTCAAAATAAAAATAAAAGTAACCATTAATCACAACACAACCAATTCAGTTTATAATAATATTTTAAAAAATATATAAAATATTTACCTCGTGGAACGATATCTTATTAATTATTTGATTAATTATATAGGATAAAATGTATAGCGTTTATTTATCGTGGTATATTTTTTTTATTCTGAAAGCGATTTTTAAAATACAAAATCCTGATTTTAAACCAGAATTATATTTTCCAGCATGTGTCTACTTACCCTATAAATTTCAGACAATTTTCGCCATATGCGTATACAGGATTTTGTTAAGATAAACGGGGGAGGGGGGACTATTAGGTAAATTTTTCCCCACACATTATATTGGAGATATTTAGGTGCCACTTATTGTTGACCTTTGGCTATATTCGATTTTTGTAATTTTTCTAAATTTTTTTTAATTATATTCCCTATTTTAAAAGTTATTAACTTTTACTAATTTTTCTTTCAAATTCTTCCTTATAATGATTGTGTACATTTTTTGGGGGAAAGGGAGGTAAGGTTGTATAGGGAGAAAATTTTTAATGATATTTACAAAAATAGGAAAATTTGCGATGGGGAGGTAGGGGGGAGGGTTATGCCTCCGATTTTCGCCATAAACTTTTGTTGTGCTTTTTTTTAAAAAAATTATATCAAACTGATCTAATTAAAAGTATTTCAACAGCAAAATTTCTGAAATTCAAGGCATGGATACTCTATACATGTTGGAATACATTTCTAATTAAAATCGTATTTGAAAAAAAGAATAATTATAAATATAAATTGAGATATTTCGAATTCCAAGAGATCCCATAATCTCAATAGAACATATTCAAATTGTAGTATAATGTGCAAAAAAAAATATTAAAAAAAAATTATCATAACGGTTTTAATCGTTCTTATTCTTCTTAAACTTAACAAAATTTAAATAATAAAAATTACGATTTTTTTAAAAAGTTTAGGCAAGGGGGGGGGGGGTGGATTTTTTGGATATGCAAATTTTTCGGGATCCAATCTTCCTTTGTCAATCTTCCTGCAATTCTTTAAAACAGTTTGGATATCAAAAGGTTCAAAAACTGATTCACCTGCTAGATCCCGTTCAGGTTCGGGCAAAATTTTTAATGGTTAAGATTAGGTTTACACTCGTAGCGAATAAAAATTAATAAACAATTTAAACCTGAAGTTCCGGTTGATCCCTGCTTTCTTTATGTCTTCTTTTTTATTTTTCTTTATTATTTATTTATTTAGTTCTCTTTCTTTAATATATCGTTTAGTTAGGTGAGGGTGGGGAGAGGGAAGGGAGATCATATCGTTATTATTTTTCTTTTTCGCGATAACATTGTTATTCCATATGGACTTAAACTAATTGTAATATTGATTAACCTCATCATTAGACCAAAAAATAAATTCAGAAAACAGGTATTCCTACCAGATTATTTTTATATCTTAAAGGTATTTCCTGAATGCTGAAGCAGCATCAAACTCAAATATTGATTTAAGATAATAACGATTACGGTTAATTTATTGGCTTACCAAAATTGTTGTTATCTCAGGGTCCTTATATATAAAGATTTTTATCATACCATATTGTTATTGAATTGAAAAGAGCATATGAGCTTTCATGTTTTAGCAATCCCTTCTCAGCTAACGCATTTTCTAATTGCTGAATCCTTTAGCCCAAATTTATCATTTGGGGGATGAATGAGTGATTGGATATTTTATAACTAATATTTTTTATAGACATGTTCTTGTTTATTTATTGGTATAATAAATTCTATAAATAATTTTTTTCTAAAAATTTTGTTGGTATTTCCATTAAGATTTAATTATTAACGGTTAAAATTTAATAGACAATAATTTTGTTTAAATTTGAAAGCCTGAAAAATTTTGGTAGATATTTTTTATGGACCAGAATTTTTTTCGTAGAGCCAGGTTTATTTATTTGGGGGGGGGGGGGGCGTCTTTGGTTGTCTTAATAGGGGGAAAAATGGCTAAGTAGAAAAAAACTTCATAAATTAGCTCAACGATCACTTGGTTTGGACGCTTAGAAACCCTCTTTTATCTTAAATTTATATTTTATTAATCTTTATGTCATCTTAAAAAACAATGATTAACCTTTTTTAAAAAATTTTATGAACTGAAATATGCTAACTTTGTACGAATGAGAGTGGGAGGATATCCGAATCATTTTTTTTCATCATTCCTTCTTTGAATACTCGAATTGTTCATTTTAAATGTTTGAAGTGCCAATGATTTTCATCATGAAATTTTCATTTCATACAAAAAAAATGTATTAAAAAATGTTCATCATTAATATATATTTTTTTTCACTTTCCTTTTTTTTTCTTTCTTTCTCTCTTCCTTTTTTCTTTCAAATTTTGTCAGCTTTGTGTAATTTTTCCATAAAAGAACCTTTTTTTAATATTTTAAATTATTCCCAATATTATTTTTTTTTGTCATCTAATATCATTTTAGAAAATTTTTTTTGGTATAAAATTTAAATCTAATCCTTAAGTCCCAAGCCTATAAAAAAACACATATAAATATATAATTTTATTAATTTTTATGGAAAATATGATATAAAAAAATAAAAAATGTTTTATTATTGTAAAATCAATAAAAAAAAATTTATATATTATATACCTTATAATTATTGCCAATTTTAAATAAATCTTTTTTTTTCAAAATATAATATATGATCGCAAATACTTAAAAATCACGGCTTTAATACACCTGAATCGACATGATTTATTATAAGGACAACTATTTTTTGGCGAATTATAAATATTTATCTATTAGCAACATCTATAATATACAATATAATCGTCTTATAACATTTCTCAGGGGGTGCAAATATTTAAAATTTAAAGAGTGGAGTTGCATTTAAAGCAAAAAACTATTCAAAATTTATTATATTTTTTGTAACCTGAAGTCAACCTAATAAAAAAAAAAGATATTATAAATAAGTGTAAGATTTGTGATTTTCTTTGAATTTTTGATGTTATTTTAAATAAATAACTTAGATAAAACATATTTTTGAGTTAGGACCTTAACGTAAATAGTAAGACTTCCAAAAGTGGTCTTTTTACTTTGACCATCTCTCTAGATTGACAAAATGTATATAACATTGAATGGTTGCCATGCCATGACTTTTCATTTGATAAATCAATGTTCAATCTAAGCAAGTAATTTAAGCGTCTATTTTAAATATTTTTTTTTTTGGATTTTACTTATACTACATATATTTAATCTGATTAAATTTTTTATTAAAAAATATTTTAAGATTCAAATTATTATTTATTTATAAAATTTAAAAAAAATTTTGACCTTAATAAAAAATAAATAGATATTAATATATATAATACTCATTTATATAAAATCATTTAATGCTATTTATAATATATAGAATTAGTATGTGACCTAATAAGTAATAAAAAATTTAAAAGAATATAACCGAATCACGCATACCTATTCTATACAATTTAGAAAATTTCGGCATAAACCTTTGTCTATAATTTAAATTTATGTGGATAACCTATACATAAATTAAGAGTGGTTTCAAACTTCAAGACGCGTGGGTCTGAAACTCACAGTGGGTTGACATTATAATGCTGGGATACATTTCCGGTCATATAAAAAAAATTTAATCCGAGAGTCTGATTGACATTTGAGCGATTTAAAATCTCTATCCGTAACCGAATACGGGGATATATATACATTTATTACTGTTATATCCAAAAATTACCCAAATCAAATTGAAAGATGAACCTTCTATTAATACAAATATTGTATATGAATGACTCTAACTTAAGCACTTATCTCAATAAACCTTAAAGAATGTATTCATCACATTCTAAAAAATATATGAAGACATTTTTTTTCGTCTTCATTGTAAATTATCTTTCAGGTTCGAATCCTTTAAGTTGAAGGAGACAACTTTGTTTTAGCAAGGACAAAGATTATATACATATTGTTAACATTTGGTTTCACTTTATAATTTTTTTAGAAATCGGAAAGTTTTTGTCATATTCAGTCCAAGGTAAAAATGATGGTAATGCGCAATCAAATCCTCCCCAACCCTGTATTCACAATTGGCGCACGGCCAATTACACAAAATACGCTGTGTTTTTGTATTCTCCGCCGTATGTTCGCGTTAATTATGAATTAAGGATATCTCTTTAATGATGTCATCCGATAAAGACTATATACAACTCAAATACGAATGAAATGATGGGACATTTCTATTTCTTCTAAAAACTAGTTTTTATATTTGTTTTTTTTTAATAGTTATAAAAATTTAAAATTTGTATCTAACTTAAAAAGCATTAAATATTAATAGTGTTCTTAAACGGCTCAATTTGAGCCTATTTTTATAAAACTAAAGGCTAACCAAATATTTTAATACGAAAAAGATTGTCTAAGCCTCGAGATTTCGCTAATATATGTCTAAACCTTTATGCTATCTATGAGCATAACCTTTAAGCTTGCATAATATTTTTATGGATAAAATATTGAGTTACAAACACTAAAAATACATTATCAGCTTCGAGGACGTTATCTTGTAATAACGCATTACTATACAAACTAATAAACTAATTACAACTGTTGTTAAATGTTTATTAATAATAAAAAAAATTGCAACCTTGTGGAGGGAAGGAAGCTGATAAAATCGCCTTAATCTCTCGAACTGCAAGATAGCCAGCAGTAGAAGGAATTAAACATAAAAATCAATATTTTGTTGTGTTAACTTGACGTGTGTTTGGTCTGTTTTTACTATTTTCACATAACTGTTTCACTCCTATAGACCAGACCGGATCCACCATGCATGCGGATATACATTTCTGACAAAATCAGTTTTGTTTTCTTAAGATTTAATGATGACGCTTAATAAAAAATAGAAATGTAATTTCTTGCGCTTTTTATTTTAAATGTGGAGATCTTATTTCATCAATAAATGTATATGTATTGTACCTAATAAAATACCTTTTTTTTATAAATTTAAGAAAATGTTTAAATTTATATATCTAGATATATATTAAATCTGCATCAAAAATACCATTTATATCATTTTAAATAAGATCAAAAGACAAGATTTTAATTTTTATTAAAATATATAATTATACTCATATAGGAAAATTATTTAAATAAAAAACACCTACAATTAAATAAATTATTTTTTACAATTTAAATAAAAAGTTTTTTTTAACGGAAATTTAAATGGTTTCTTAATTTTATATTTTTTTCTTTTTAGAATTCGTTTATCTTCTTCCACTTCACATTGTTTCATCTAAATAATATCATTTAACCACATAAATCTGATTGTGAAATATTTTGAAAAGTATTTATGTACTTTAAATAATATCATTTAACCATATAAATCTAATTGTGAAATATTTTGAAAAGTATATTTATGTTTTTTATGTTCTTTGACTAATGTTATTTTTTTTTAAAAAAAACTTATATTATTGATTTAATGTGAAAAATTTATAGATTTATGTAATATTTTTTAATTAAATAATGGATTTTATAAAAAAAAATAATTAACGCGTTTTGAATTTTTTTTTGGACAATCCTATATATTCAACATCATAAGTCTATATAAATAATATCGACTTATCTGTCCTGTTTACTCTCAGCTTTAATCGCGTTTTAATTTCACTCATCTTTAAACAGATTTTTGTGTAATATTTGCATAATTTTTGCTTATTTAACATCTTTTGCGTTTTTCGTTAATAATGCACCATTTTGCATTGTTTTAGCTAATTTTGCGAAATTTCTTCATCGTTTGGTCTACTATTTGCATACTTTGCTTGTTCTTTCTATAATTTGCTTGCTTTCTTATCATATTGCGTGCTTTTCCATAATACTGCACGCTTTTAGTGTATTGTGCATCATTTCGCGTGCATTTTGCATTTTATGTCATTGTTATTCATTGTCTCTTTACGTAATTATTATATATTTTTTTATTTTTTACAGGTTTTTATTTGATATTGCTTTATTATTAAATTTGCCATTTATATGTTCCTTGCATATTTTGTCTGCTTTGTATATCTATTTTGTGCTCTTTAAATATTTAGGCTTCTTTTGCATATTTTGTACCATTTTGTTTGTTTTCAGTCATTTTGGTAGTTAAGTGATACTATTGCATTTTTTTGCTTGCTTTGCAAATTTCATGTCATTTTTTCCATGCCTTTTTTGTGATTTTACATGATTTATTATTTATGCATAATTTCTACTTAGCTTAAATCTTTTCATTTTTGCGCCGCGTCGGGTGGTTTAGTAAAACCAAAATACATATAATTATTGATAATAAAAAAAATTGGATATAACATCTAAATTAATGATAAATTTATAGGTTTAAATGCTAGTTGCAATCCCCTTAACTTGGCACTTATCAAAATATTGAAACAATTGAACTAATTTCTGAACAACATATAACAGTCTAATATTCTGCTATGGATGATTACGTCACTAGGCGATGCTGGCCCTAGCCCTATCAAAATTTTGGAGAGCTTTCAAGAAACACCCCCTTCCCTCTATACCAGATCTTAGGATTTGTTTTTTATCCAAAAGAAAACTAAACTAAAACAATTGTAAATATATTTAAATTAATAGATTATATAAAAACAGAGTTCGGCTTGACTCAATTGACCGATATTTGACTGAGTTATATATTTTTTTATGATAATATTCACTTTATTTGGTATAAAATAATAATAAAATACAAAATATGTTCATAAATCATTACATTTAATTAAATTCCATGAGTGTTGATTTTAATTCTAAAAATAATATTTTGTTTGCTATATGGTCAGATTTTTTTTACTCTGGAATTATTGAGTTATTACCATTTTATTTTTTATTTTTAATTATCGTAAATTATAACTAATGATAGTGTAGTAAGTTTTTATCTGGATTCAATTAAGTTATTACCATTTAATTATTTTTTATTTTTAATTATCGTAAATTGTAACTAATTTTAGTGTAGTCAAAGTTTTTAATTAGTTCTTATGAATATTATTCCAAATGGACTAATTACTTTTCGAAAATAAAGTTGATTTGGGAAGGATTACATTTATCATATACCTCAAGCAGGTAGAAAAAGTCCCCTTTGTCAACTTGATACCTATCATTCTCTCGTATTCCGCAAATTTTGATTATCAAAGTTATCGCATTTAGAACATTTATTATATCAGATATAATAACTTTATTATTACCACCACAGAGACCTTATCCTTTTTATTGTATCAAAAAATTTATCAAATTCATTTAAGATACCGGCCTTGCTATTGGGGATGTAATATTTTGTTAGCATAAAGGGGGGGGGGGTT